GCAATGGGGTACATAGAGGAACAATCTCAATATTCAATTAAGCATGAATTTAAATGGAATGGGGACACTGGGTATGAGATACAACATGGGGTTTACAAATATATTGTTGACTTTTTCAATGATACATGCACATGCAGATCATGGCAGCTCAAAGGAATACTATGCTCCTATGCAATACGTGCAATGTTTTTAAGAGATTTGAGCTTGCTGACTATGTTGTTCACTGATACAGGAAAGAAACATACTTGAAGGGTTTCAGTTGTTACATACAGCCAGTAACCAACATGGAGATGTGGCCATTAACTCAGAATCACACTGCCGAGCCTCCTGTAATTACTAAGATTCCCAATAGGCCTAAGAAAAATAGAAAAAGAGCTCAAGATGAACTTACAAAGAAGTTTGGTAAGAGATCAAGTAAAGGGGCACTAATGACATGCTCTCATTGTAAGACAGTAGGCCATAACAAGAAGGGGTGTCCTATCCTGGTAAACGATCAGATAATGCAGTCATTTTTTTTCTGATTGTGACTTGTATTTTGGTTGTTTCTATAACTCATTTTATTTTTTTGGAAATTTCAGAAAGGACAAGGATCTAGAACTGCAGGTACAATTAAATGCTAATGCTACTCAACCATCTCAGGTTGCTCAAAGAACAACTCAACTATCAGTTGCTGCAAGTGATTCTGGAACTGCTTGGATTAGAAATACTCAACCATCAGCTGTTGCAAATGGATCTGGAACTGCTGCTACCAGAAATACTAAACCATCAGTCATTGCAAGTGCATCTAGGGGTGTGCATTCGAATCGGTTTATCAATAAATCAAATCGATTATTTGTTATCGATTTCGATTTCGAAATTTTTCTTATCGAGTTATCAATTTCGATTTTGTCCTCTTCGGTTATCGGTTTATCGATAAACCAATAAGATATACAAAAAAAAATTTACCCTTATTCTATAATAGCCTTTCCTTTTCCCTAAGTCCCTAACCCTATTATTTCATCTACCACATTTAAGAAATGATCATATTTAAAGCTCAAGGGAATAAAGTTCAAATTAATGGAAAATAGAATTAGTCGTGATGATGTATTTTTTGATACAGTTGGAGTGTTGGTGGCATACATTTGATCCCTTACTTTAGTTTCGTTGCATGTGCTTGTTGACACAATTTTTATGTTATAAACGGTGTTCGTCTTATTTTAGCTTATTTTTGTCTATATTAGTTAGGCGTGTTTATAGCAATATACTTTCCGTGGAATCCCGCAAATTTTCTTATTGGTGTAATCGATAACCGAATTGATAAGCCCCAAAAATCGATAAATCGAAATCGAAAAAATCGAAACCTTGTTGAAACGATAACGATAAGCATATGTATAAATCGATAATCGATAAGTAATTATCGATAAGGGTCAAAATCGAATGAACACCTTTAAGTGCATCTGTAAGTATTCATTTTTTACTTTAGTTAAGTTGTATTAGGACCATAATTTTTGAATTATTAGACAGTACTTTATCTTATATGAGGATACTAAAAGTATGAGATCAAGGACTTCTGAGAATATTTTATCTATTGTTAGAGGAAGGCCAAGAGCTATCGGACTTCAAGGAAGACCAAGAACTACCGAATTTGGAATTTTTTTAATGATTCAGGAACAATGATAGAAAGGGTTTGTGATTTGGATTTGGATTTGGATTTTTATTTAGATATTAGTAGTTTGGGTGTTAATTTGACTTCCTATGCAATGTGGATCAAGAGACAGGGTACTTTCTGCTCCTACAAAAATAGTGGATGTTAAGCAGACCAATATTGATCTTGGATACAGTGCACCTGGACTAAGGTGGCAAGGAAGAAATGATATAACACAAAGGCAACTTCAACAACAGTTGAGGAGAAGACAAACTCAAGCAAGCCTTAGCTAACCTCAAGTCCATTCCTCATCTCAGCCAAGCCAGTCTCCATGTCCAAACTTGAGCCAATTTCAGCAAAACATCAACCAATCTCAACCATAATGATCTGCTGAATGTTTGTTTTGTGATAGCTTAAGATTGTTAGTTGCAGAACTAAATTTGTAGGTTAACTATGGATGTTTAACTATGACTTTTATTTTGGCACAATGTTTAAACTGTTTCTGCTACTAAATAATTTTCAATAGCTAATTTTGCCAACCAAGAAAGTTGTTCGAACTTGGTTGTTTATATATGTCTGCTTGTTTATGTTAAAATTGCTTTTCATTCCACAAAAATATATCATACATTTTGTCATTATCATTGTACATAGGGTTATGAAGACACTGATTAGTACTAACTAGACGAAGAAGGAAATTACAATTATTAGTGCTAATACAACAACTAGTTAAAATGATCTTCACCCTCTTCCTACGCTATGGTCGATCTCTCACTCTAATTCTTGATAATAGACCTAAAATCACTTGTTTATAGTGATCTGGAAGAGATGGGTCAAACCACCTAATAAGATTACAAGAATTTTTTCGGCCATGATTTGAGCATCCATAAAACCTTCTTTCTGGATTTGTTGGCTTACAAGTGATGCAAAACTTAGCTTCAACTCCACAATGACAAAATACAGGACTTTACATCATTTTCACAGTCTGAAAAAAGAAAAAATAAATAAATAAAGCTTCAGATTTTAGAAAAATGAAGGAATGGAGCTTCAAATTCTATATAATAGAGGGATAATGTATTTTACAATGAATGAATAAGAACACACTAAAATAGACACCATTTTGGACCGTTGGGCGTTGGGAAGAGGGCTCTCACGCTCCTAAACGTCGTGTTCCTCACGCAACAGGCTGATTAGGACCAATTGACGCCACATGAACATGGTCAACGGTCAAATGGATTTATAAATTAAGGGAATCATGAGTTTGAGTGTTCAAATGAGAAAAATCCAAAGTTCATGTATCGGCTTTCAAAAGCCCTACAAGTCTAATTGGACAGGAAGCCATTATAAATTGGATGAGATTATACTCTTGCACCCATTACGCTATTAAAATTAAGAGTTCAACTTTTAATATTTTTGAGATTTTAATGATATTTTAAACGTTTATATTTACATTCCATGTCTAAAGACTCTAAACTATACACTGACTTGTTTCTTGATTTTCTGTAATTTGGTATTAAATTTAAAAACATAAATCGACATATTTGATTTGATTTGGTTAAACAAAAATGAAGAGAAACCGAGACTAAAATGTGCGTGTGGTGTGTGTTGGTTTATAGATTTTTGTAGTAATTTTATATATTTTTCGAACAAAATTAGAAGCCAATAGATTAAAGAGAAACTACCAGTTATGTCAGCCCATAAGTAATTTAGTACAAAAATTAGTCAATTCAGAAAATACTACCAATATTAGCCAATAAACTATTTGAAGTTAAAAAAAATCAAATTTTTGCTTTCTTTTGACTGGGTGTTGTTGGAATAGATTGAGCACATCTTGAAGAGTCTGAATCTAAGTTTTGGGATGATTTGGTGGAGTTTTGAGGTGGTTTGAATTGAAAATTGGAAGTGGAATATGAACATGAAAAAAGATGATGTGTATCACACTATAATCATTTGTGTACCACATACATATCATATATGTATCAAATGTGTATCACATGTATCTCCATATATGTATGTGAAATATATGCGTGATACATGTTTGATATATATGTTGCATGAAAAAAGTTAACTCGATTTTAACTAAGAATTTTGATATCAAATCAATCCAAATTACCTCCAAACTTCCTCCAATATTGTATATTGATTCATCTACATATTTTCAATGAATTTCAATCATATCCATTGAAAAAAGCCCTTTTTTCTTAGGTTTTGAAATTTTGTATTTTTTTCTTTGTGTTTCATCACCTTGTTTGCTACCTCATCCATTAAATTTCATTTTCGCCTTGCATCTAATGTTGTTGACCACGTTTAAAAATATGGAAGGAGATCTTGCGTGTGATTCTTGGAGAGAAAGAATCCTTTATTTACGTGGATTTTCAATTTTTGTATGCGCTTGGCTAAACTTTGTAAATCTAAATTTATGACTAGAGGTTGATAAGTTTGAGCTTCTTTTGGACATTTCTGTAAGATTCTTTAAATTAAAACCGACAAACAAACAAAAATAGAAACTAATAAATTATCATAAGAGTCTGTTTGGAAGGACACCTTGTATATGAATTAGTTAGTGCAACTACTATCCAACCTAGTAATTATTATACAATACATAAGTTACATAAACATATATGTTTGCCACAACGTAATTACAATATAATTTTATGTGTCATGTTGGAGGGCACAAGTGAAATTACATAGTTAAATATTTTTATTTTAAATTAAAGTTAATAATATAAATGATTATTTTTTAAAGATAAGTGAATATACCTTAATGCGTGACAAATATATATATATATATGCATACAAGAAATATTAGATTTTATTTATTGCCGTATTAGATATTTAAAATACATATTATAAAAATATACATTTTGTAATTATAAATTTGACAAATAAGAATAAAAAAAAATTAAAACTCTCATCTTAGGATTATACAATGTATCATCAGCTCTCGTTTGAGAATTGGAGAGCTAATTGTTACACTCAATTATACCAATTCCATGCTGATCTGACTCTAAACAAATTGATGCCATTTAGTGGTTTAATTTTTTTTCCTTTTTTTTTTT